GTCCGAAATGACTTGCAACTTCAAATTCATGTGAAAGATGGTTTAATAAAAAATACTGACCCGGATGTGCTCCACACTTTACAGATCTGTATTTGCAAAGAAGGTTGAAATGTGGAATCCTCCTCCGAGTTCAGGTGAAAATCCTCAGTTCAGTTTCTTAAAGTGGAGTAAATACTTTGGCGCTAAGCTGCATCCTGGCCCTCTGATGCAATAGTCGACGACGGCCAGAGAAAATAAATAAATAAGATAAACGCCTAATGGATTGCGTTTATATAACACTCCTCAAGTCGTATCGACCACCTCGAAGAACGTTACAATACGAGTCACAATCACCCACTGCTTATCGATTACCTACACCGTTTTCTGTTCTATCAAACACACACATTCAGTCGTTACAGGCACAGTCCCACTTTTCATCCAGACACCAGATCTAGAAACTTGACAGTCATTTAAAGCTGGAAGAGACCATTTTCTTTTTAATTTTTATGAATTCATAATTTCTTACCAATCCGATTACCTTGAAGACCTGATATTACAAGTCTGACGCTGTAAATGTGTTGCAAAAGGGTTTCGGAAAAGGAGAAGGAGGTTTTATTTTTGTTTGAACACAGAAACAAGAGCCATGTTTTAGCTTTATAATATATTTAAAATTCTTTGTTACTAAGCCATACAGTTTCTTTCGAGTGAAAAACACTTATATGGCGATACATCGTGATTAAAACTGAAATTTTATGTATTTATTCTGAATTAAACCAAATTGTTGGAGCAAAAAATGAACAAAAACAAAACACAGTCAACAAAAACTGAGTTATTATAACTGGATTGGACTTTTCTTATTAGAACTTTTCAAAAAAATATATATTTACAGTAACTCAGATTTAAAAAAAAAAAAAAGCTTTAGTTGTAAAATCAAGTTTCCTCAACATGAATAAGCTTATGGATGTTCTTTTTCTTAAGTGCTGTTAGTTTTACACCCTCTGGAACATGACACACATTTTCTGAATTTTTTCAGATGGCTTTGCATATGACACAATTATTTTTCTTATACTTAGAAATTAATGTTTACAGATTCTAAGTTAACCAAACACAGAATCAGCAGATAAAGCAACCGTTTACTATAAAATAAGCATGCTAGCACATAAGAACGTTGGTGATTATTATGCCTATCTGCCATAAAGCCGGGTACTACATGACTTCTGATTCTTTCTTCAGCTGCTACAAATAGAACGAATGTCTCTGGAGGGAGCTTTGAGAGGGGAGTCGCAGTCGGGAAGGGAGGAAGAAAACAAAAAAAGAGGGGGATGAAACGTGACCGTGGAGAAGTAGCAAAGGGAGACGGTGAGGAGGAGAGTGGCTAAATAACAATGAGAAAAATAATTAATGCATAAACAAAGGAGTCATTAAGGACAGCAGAGCAAAGAGGGAATAAATGTAAAAATGGGGGCAGTAAGAAACAATGAAAGACAGGAAGAGGTATGAAACAAAGCAAAAATGAAAAAATCTTGCTCAATTGTACGGACCAAACCAGTGGAAAAAAAGCCCAGAGTGAATCAATAAAAGTGAAAGAGAAAGATGACAGAATGGGAGGATGGGGAGACCAAATTTAGGGAGGGCGGGTGTTCTGTCTTCACTGATGACTGATCTCACAATGCCTTAGGAGACAAAAGTGAGAAAAACGAAGCCTCGCTTTGAGCTTAAATATCTCAGAGGGTGCCTGTGTGACTGACAGGCAGAAGCTTCTGGTACCTGCCTGTAAGGACAAAAGCCCACTGAAGTGTTTTGGCATCTGAGGTCCCCTCAAAAAAACAGCAGACCCTCAGTTTCTGCTAGGACCTGATTGAGTTCTGGATGCATTTTCTGCACAAAGCACATGCCTACAGCATGTTTTACATCTACTTTTAAACAGTTGAAAAATGACACTATGTGAGAAATGCTCTAATTATTTCATGTTTCAGGGTCGTTAAAATAATTCATATCTCGATATAAATACTAAAAAACCAAATTATTCAAAGATTCAAAGTGTCAAAATCTACATAAACTTTCACATTTGCCCTTATTGTTGCACTTCATCTGACAGCAGTGCTAACGCTGCAAGCTAGTACAAGCTAGTACAATGAGCTAGCAACTTAAAAAGGTCAGAAAACCTTCTGTATCAGCACCTGTGAGGTAGTTATCTTTTCAGTAAAATTAAGCTACCGCTATCTGTTTAACTAAGCTAACACTGTCAGTTTAAATAAACTAATGCTGTCTGTTTAAGTAAGCTAAAGTTATCTGTTTAGCTAAGCTAACTCTGTCAGTTTAAATAAGCTAATGCTGTCTGTTTAAATAAGCTATTGCCATCCATTTAAAAATTAGCTTGATGGACTTAACCCAGGGACAGCATTATGTTGGTCCATTTATTGTTTAGGAGTGAATCAACCAGGCTATGTGAAACGTAATGTCGTCAGATGTTGACTCTGCGTATGGCTGTAATAAACAAGTTATAGAGATAGCAAACTAGCCCGGACCACACACAGTTCTGCAAATGTGTTGCCATTTCCCCTTTTGAGCTTTTCTTTTTCGGAAAAAGACAAAAAAAAAAACAAAAAAAAAAAACAACAACCCAAGTGAGCGTAGAAACATTTTTAGAAATTGAGGAGGTTACTTTGAATTTTGCCGTTTCCACCAATCTTTTTTCTACTGCGATACTTCAAAATACATTAAGAAAAACTGCTGATGTAAACACAGCTAATGATGCATTGGTAGCACATTGATGAGTCTTGATGTGAGCTGCCACATTCAAGTGGTGGGGTCAGAATTTAATGTGAACATCAGGAAGGCATGAATCCATGGTGTAATTACATGAAGGGTGTTTTCTTGATGCACGTTGGTCCAACTTTTGGGTACTAACTTAGCATCGTTTAAGATGCCACAGCATTTGAATGTGGACTAAAATCTTAAAAGAATATCTTGTTAAGTACAGATAATGTAGAATTAAAGTGAGGTCAATGGGCTCCAACCATGTAATACAAAGTGAGCCTAACAAAGTATAAGTGCGATTGTGCTATACGTCTTCCAAAGTTTTTGCCTACGTAGCGTTTTACACCTTTCAGCTAAGTTTGATATCACAAAAAAAAAAAAGCAGAACCATTAGTGAATGAAAAAATGACCCAATTAAAGAAATCCAAGACAGTCGGGACAAGCAAGACAGAACTTAGTTTTAAGATCAATGCGGGTGCAATGGTAAGACACACACACACACCAGCTGACACCTACACACTCACCGTGCAGACACCTAATTAGGGAGTCTGGGTCTGGAGTATGGATGTGAGTAGGTATGTGTGAAAAGCAAAGAAAGAATGTGTGTGTGTGTGTGTGTGTGTGTGTGTGTGCGCGCGTGTGTGTGTGTGTGTGTGTGTGTGTGTGTGTGTGTTTGTGTGTGTGTGTGTGTGTGTGTGTTTGCCATCCGTGAGGGAGATAGAGAGAGAGAGGGGAACGGAGACGCAACAACAGAGAAATCAGAGTGTGACATGAAATATTTACAAGGGCTTCAGAGAAGAATGTCCAGAAATAGGTCAGCTCAAGATGGTAGGCTCTTACTGGCACACACACACACACACACACACACACACACACACGCTCTACACACGTGCGGACACCGACACTCCCGGCTCAGTCCAGTACCATGAAAAAACTGGTATGCAAACAAGTCATCAGTCATTTCCCAGGGATTCGGGGCTTAAACACAACCTCACTATCACTTCGTAAAATACGGCTGGATATGACAACAAAAGCAAAGCAGAACTCTGAATGAGACAGCAATTTTTCTTCCTCCTCCACACCTTCCTGCCGTCCAAACGGACTCCAGTTCCGTTTGGAGTCGTGGACCTGGGTTAATTAGCTCCAAGTTAGTGACAACACCCCAGAGAGTCGACGCTCCTCAGTTGTGTTTGAAACATAAATAATCGGCTGAAGGAAATTGATGCAAATTAATTTAGTCTTGATGGGCACTCCACAAATCTGGCCTTTGTGGAACGGAAGAGTGGCAAAGGGAAAAACGGAGGAGTCAGGCTGGAGGTTTGCCACGGGTCCTGACTTTGAAACGTGGTGGTGGTGGTGTCATGCTGTGGGAGGGGGGCACTTTCCTTTAGGAGGTACAGGAAGAGAGAAATATTGGACGATCCTAGAAGGAAACCTAATGGAGGCTGTAGAAGATGAGAGACAGCAAAGGCTGACCTTCAAGGAAGACAACCAGGGTTACAATGGAATGCAACTGGAAATTGTTTTTACTTCATTTTGTCAAATTACAACCAAAGAAAGAAAGGAAGAAAGAAAGAAACTACAGTGCCAAAACTCTTAGCCCATTACAGCCAACTTTTCTAAAAGTTATTCTGCCTGAGCAGCAGCTAATTTTTAAGGCATTCTAAAGTAAAACTTAGAAAATAAAACAAATCCTATAGCACAGCAATTTTATGTTGTTTTTTTTTGTCCATTATATAGAAAATTAATTTAGATGTTAGTGATGTGCCAAGTGTGCCCCACAAATGTCTTATGAGAGGTTGTTCAAGAAACTCATAGAGGGTTGAATCAAAAAGCATGTCACACTTTTCAGATTTATAGATAAATACTTGAAAGCATCACAATGTGTTGGCTTCTGAAAATAACATCCACAGGGAATACACTTTGTGGAAAAAATTTGTTACTTTTGCCATGTTTTCATTCCATACAGTTAACCTTCACTGTGTTAATTGTCACTAACATGAAAGGTGTGAGGTTTGAAAGAAACCTGTGGAGACACAAAAAAAAAACAACTTTGAAAAATTCTGATTAATTTTTACAAAGAAAAAGAGATCAAACATACTCTATCAGATGAGCTCTGTCCTGATAAAAGCTTCTCATTTCAAATCCACAATAATTACTGTGTTTCAGTAACATTCTATCTGTCTGTATTAGAGGTGACTTATTGTGATCCTAATAACAGAAGTAGAGCCAAACATTGTGACTGCGTCCGCCTGGTGTACCTTTGTCCAGCGTGCTGTTGCACTCCCACTTCTCAAAGCTCCCCGGCTTCCAGCAGGACTCCCACAGAGACAGGTAGTACTGGTCGTCGGCGGTCACCCACGCCGGACTCATCACGGCTCCCACGTCCAAACAGAGCGCCAAGAACACGCACACGAGCCCGACCAGCTTCAGCGGGGTCAGCGGGGAGCTGTGCGCCGACTCCTCCGTCTCCGTGACGGCCGAGGACATGGCGGGGTCGGAGAGGCGCGGAGGGCTCACGGCAGAAGCGGAGGGTGCATGCGTGGGAATGGAGAGAGAAGGTGTCGAGGCGCGTCGCGGGAACGTGGCGGAGTGTGGCAGCCGCCTGCGATGCGCGCTGGACGGACGCTGCGCCTGTTGGGGCGCCGCTGCCGCCGCGCGGCGGAGACCTGTGCGGTTTCCAGCTGACGTCAGCGGCTTCACAAAAACCCGCAGGTGCAACCGGGTCCTAAAGAGACAACCAGATGTACACCTAGGAGCTGAAGACATGCACGGCACCTTCTGAGTGCAGTGCTGCAGTTTTGTGATGAAGTATGAGTTTCTTCAGGATAATTTTACATGTGAATAATAATAATAAAAAGATGGTTTAAAAAAAAAAAGCACTGGGTAAATTTCTAATTCTGCTTTGCGATGACATCATATAAAGCGCACCAATCAAACTGATCAGTTGGCTTTAGTAAACATATTAGTACTCTTCCAATAATATTTCCATGTGCTTTATATATATTCTATTTTCTGAAATTCCATGTGTATGCAAATTAAGGGTGAGAAACTAATTTAAAAACTTCTGACGACCACAAACTTCAGTGTAATCTGTTGGGATTTGGTTTGATATCACAACAAATAAATTGCTGTTGTAAAGTGGAAGGAACTCAAACATCTGAAGTCTGGCGTGGATTTTTAGTCAACCCCTTACTGCAATAGTTACAAATAAAGTACAGCGCAGCTAACTGCCTTCAAAAGTCTCCAAAGCAATGAAAAAGACAAAAGAAAAAGAAAAAAAATATTCCACCTGCTTTCCGGCGCATTGTGGCGCCGCTCCAGAGGGGGCGCCAAACAATGGTGAAAATTTATTTGTAGCTTTGTAGTTGGCATTTTCTGTATTTAACACAAGTGAATGAATGAAAAAAAGGTATTTCTGGATTATCAGTGTCATAAAACTTAAATCTGCTATTTTTTAATTTATATGTACATATATGTGGAGAATCTAAAGTGCCACTTTTATGTCGTGTTTGTTTATAATCTCAATAAAATAGATTACATTTTTATATTTAATGTAAACAAAAACCTATATTAAAAAAAAAGTTTTAAAAGTTGCCAGATATAGGCCTTCTTCCTTTTTAGTGACTCTACCTTGTTTCCACTCCATCTCCTTTATTCCTGTCAGCTGCCTTCTTATTCTCCTCCTTGTTCTGCTCCCCTGCCTCCCTTCATCATCCCTTAATATTCCAGTGATGGGAAGTAAACAAGGCCATCTTTTCCCATCCATCAGTCTCTCCTTTTCTTTCTTTCTTTCCGGTCAGATAAACATATGAATAGCTCTGTCTCCTTGAACCTGAGCACTACGGCTTTCTTGGCCTCCCTGCTTGATCACTGGCTGTGTCATGAGTGCGCAGAGGAAACAATCATATTTCTCGACATGTGCCTCCCACTTCCCTCTATTCTCAGTACTCTTATTTGTCAGGTCCTTTCCAACAGTACGTTTCTGTTGTGCTGTCTCTAATTTAATAAGAAATTGGAATTGTTTGCAATTTTTTTTTTTGCTAGAAATGTTAAGAGGACATCTTCATCACTTCTTTGTTTTTCAAGTATGTCTTGCAGGGACTGAGGTGTGCTTGCTTTTCATATCAAACTCCAGTGTGATTCTTTCTTCGCGAAGACAAACTCAAAGCCACCGCGCCTCATTCAACCAACAAAAACACTTCCGAATTGAAACATGGGCGCAAGACACGGCATATTCTCTCACCTGTTCGTCTCCTTACAGAGAGAAGCAAGCATCTCTGGGAAGTCCTGTGTGGCAGCCTGTGAAACATGAGACTTGGCTGCATAATGGCTGCAGGAAAATGGACTTAGTCTTTGATAAGCAAGACCAGTTAAAAGATTAGGCATCTCCTCGCTTTTTATAGAGTCCAGTAAATGTCAAGCGTTTTTTGGACAGACCATTTTAAATATTCAAAGCAACAGTTTACCTGAAACTGTCTTACCCAGGACCACCACACCACACCAAACTTTCTGGCAAATTTTTCAGGCATTTGCACACAAGTACAGGTTGTTGAGGTTGGGATCGCGGCTGAAAAGGAAGAACCCACACCTCCAAATTGCGCCTGACCTCAACTGGTTGCTCGGAGACCCGAGAAAGTTATAAGATGTTCACGTAGCAATTTGAATGTAGCATGTTCTGTACCTGTCAGGCTGTAAAAGGGATCAGTGGGCTCCGTTTGCATAAGGCGAAACTGCAGGACTGTTGTCGATAACAGGTTCTCTGAGGACTAATGAATAATAATATGTACAACTTTCTTCACAGGATCATAAAAAAAAACTTTTAGCAGACGTGACAGTAGAAACGTGACTGAGTAAAGGTGTTGAGGTTTATGTTGGGCCTCATTTAGCTACTGAAAGGATGCATGCATGACAATCAGAAAATGAGGCAGTCAGGAAGTTTGGCTCACAAAATAAGAAGCCTGGACTGACGTGTTTTTTTTAGCCTTGAATGAAAGGTGAGGCTTTTTTTTTAAAGAAAGTTAAACTATTCACTTTCAGCCTTCTCCAACTTCTCAAGGTTCCTCTTTAAAACATGCATTCAAATAAATGTCTGTTCTTTTATATTTTACTCTTTTTACCAAGTGCAGATATTTTCTTTGGTCTGCTCTTTTTCATTACTGGTATTTTTTCTCTCTCTCTTTAAATTGATGAAATCTGAAAGCTACAGTTTGAATATCAGCTTGCCATACTTCATTAGCTTGGAACACACATCATTTTGCAATTCCCAAAACTTTCCGATCTCATTTTCAACATCATTAACTCATAGCTCTATTTCTAATGCTATCATTCAACATTACTTATTACAATGAGTTGAAATAACTGGATATATGAAATCATAAAAATAGAATATTTTACAGATAGGAATAATAACATTTCCTTGCACTGTGACGGACCGGTGACTTTTCCGGGGTGGAGATCAAGTGAACAAATCCCCGGACAAGACCCCACTTTGAACCTGGTAAGAGTTCTTTTTCAACAGCGACAAAGGCCAAAAGGCCACTCGTGGAGGAAGAAACCATTTGTTCAAAAGTACAATAAAAGCCAGATCACAGTTTGCAAATACATTCGACCTTTTTTTCCCTTCAAGAGGGACTGGTGCACTTCATTAAACAGACGGCATAATGAGGAAAGAACAATATGTGGAATCTCAAAAGCAACATTTCAAGATATAAACCACAGCTTGGGAACAAATGGTTCTTAAAAATGAACAATCATTCTAACTTACAAATTAGTTACAAAGTGGCTATAGAACAACAATGTAAAACACCATAGCAATATCTCATAAAGGTAAAAGGTAAAAAAAAATTAAAAAAAAAGGCGCAAAGCTGTCTCTCTCATATTATTGTTGAATTTAGCAAAGAGAAATTATTTATACTTTGAGAACTGGCAGGAAAAAGGAATTGAGGACTTTGACAATTTGTGTTGCTAATAATATTTTGACACAAAAAATATGTGGAATGTAGGAATGATTTTTTTAATATCAGACAAAGACAATGTAGCACTTTGTTAGAAGTTTGTAACTCAGCAGTTTGAAGTTTGTCTGCCACTTCTCACACCTAAAAAGAGCAAAGCACTCCAATTTACTGTGTAGGAGAAATGTGTTTTGTGGTGTAATTTCAATTCAATCTGGAAAGACTCAGACGAAGAAAAAGGAACAATTAAAAGGTTTAATGACAGCAATGAATAACAGTTCTTTGGCGCTCGGGCCCCGGCAGCTGATCTGAGCTGAGATTTGATGTGAACTCGATGAACATCCCGATAACCGATTAGGGATGCTCTCCCCCGGGGCCCGACACTGGTGGTGGAGGTCTGGAAAGGGTGCCATCCTGGAGAGCAGAAGGATGTGGGTGGAGAAGGGGAGGTGGTGGGTTGAACGCAGCTGGGAAGCAGCCGACGACTTGGGTGTGGATCCTTTTATGCTGAGCTTGATTGATGATTGGACACGCCAGGTGAGGTCCAGCGCTGAGGTCGGAGATGAGCATGACGCCGATAGACGAACGGAGGGGATGGAGTCTTCCAGGTTGAATTTTCGCTATTAGCTTCATAAGTCCTGAAAAGACCACATGCTACCGAGCTAAGTGAGTGAAACCAGAGTTTGTCTTCCCGGGGACGTTTACTGTCTGGTGAAACTGTAGAATTCCACACGGCTCCCGTTTTCCTCAAATTCTGTGGACACAGAAGGGTCGATTGGGGGGGAAAAAATAAAATAATCAGATTTACAGTCTGGTGTGACTCTTCAATCAATCAGGTTTGGCAGAAAAGGCTAATACTTGTCATAAGAAAACGACTTCAGCTCTGTATTTATGACTTGAAGCTAATGATTAATATTCCGTTACTGGTGTGAGATTAATTAAGAGGTGTGTGTGTGTGTGACAGTCGACAGTGAACTGATCAATGAGGTGCGCCAGGATGTGAGAATTCAAGCTTCCACCAGTCTTCCTTTAAATCCTGGATGCTTAAGAGCAACTGAGTCAAAGCCTCAGCAGTGATATAAGTAAATACACAAACTTATGTTAAAATTTTTTCATAGTTTTCTTTTTGTTATGATGATAGCCAGACTTACAGAACTAAGAGACCAATTTATTTTGCTTTGGTTTTGGTAATCCTGCAGATTTGTATGGTTCAAACCTACTTCTATTCTCACCACATGGCAGTTCATTCACATTTTACACCCGGAAATCTTAAATAAATAAATAAATAAAAATCTTCTTTCTAAATTTGGACTCTGTTGGTTTACCTTTCAAGCAGACGAAATAGAGGTGATCTCCACACGGAAAATTTGACCAGTAGAAGGAGTCGTCAGCGTCCACTCCACCACAGGGACTTGTGACCTGCCAGATGTGTTGCTCTTTCCAGTAAATGTAGCTCATGGAAGCACCAGACATCCAAAACCACGAGCTCCCCATCAGACGCCTACAGCAAAAACAACCCACACACTAAAAAAAATGTCACTTTTACACTTCTTGAAGCCCTTAGACTGGCTCGGCGTTCTGGAGGATACCTGCGCAGTCCCAGCCACACATGTCTGGAAGAAACGGTGGGGTCGTTTGTCAGGAAGGTTGTGTTTCTCAACACCTCCTCCAACCCTCTCTGCTCCTGCTCGCTGCGAACGCTGAGGAGGTCCCAGTAATGTTCCCTGCAGTATAACAAGGCGTCCGACCAGCACAGCTTCTTCTGCACAACGGCTACTCTCCGTCCCATCACCACTGCGCTGAAGGACGGCGAGGGAGCAGCCAGTTCTGGGGAAATATGGCTTCCATAAATTCACATTGGGCCAATGTTCACGTGAAATAGTTCCCTATGTTTGTAGATTTTTTTTTCTTTACAGTGGATTCTAAATATAAAACAGCTTTCACTAACCTCCATACACTTCAAGCTCACACATTGTCAGAATGCCGAATGAGGTGCTGATCTTTACGGTCAACATCCGACCCGTCATTCCTGTGCAGTTAAAGGTTTTGGTTCCCCCACTGGGGATGGAGGAAATGACAGCACATCTGAGAAGGAGACATACAGGTTTACATTTTTAATCCAGATCGTTGAAAAACACAGAGTCGACACTGTAATCTGAGGCAACAGCAGATGTATGAATATCCTTGAACCTTTTTGAAATTTATAATAATACGGCAACAAACTTTAAAGGGGCAGTTTTATATGCAAATACGACTTGTTAAAAGAAACTTTCCGTCATATTTTAATGCATTTGAAATTGGGCCTCTGTCTTTTTAAGAAACTCTGGCTCTCTCTGAAGCTCTGCCTTCAGGAAGTCATCACAACATGGCTTCTCCATGAACCCTTTAACAACATTTTACCAGCATTGCACCGAGAAGTAGCAATACTGGTGTAATGACCTCAGCTGATGCAGTTTCACAAGGCCTTTGCTAATTAACTAAAAGCTCAGAGGAGGAGCTGTGCCTCAAAGGCGGAGCTAGGTCCACCCAGGTGTTTTACACAGCTGAACGGTAGCCATGGGAGATTAATGAATTTCTCCAACATCTTATCAAAAACACTCCAGGTGTTTTTGATGAAGGAATAACATTATAGGATTACGTAAAGGTCAAAACAAATGACTCTACATAACACTGCCCCTTTAAGATGTTTTGATATGTGCACATTTAAAATCTTTGTACTCCTGCTGATTAAAACAGCATCTGAAAGCAGGATTTTAACAATAACAGGAGAAAAAAGTTGAAACTCTTCCTCCTCCGAGTTTACCTGGGGTTGTTGTTTCCGTTGTTTTCTAAGGAATTCCCGATGAGGATCTCGGCATTATTTATCCTCTCGCTCGCCACGTTCCTGTTGGTGATGCTGACGGTCGTGACCCGGTACACGACTGGCAACAACAGACTCCACCACGGGTTCGGTCCCCCTACTGTATGAGTGCAGGATTCGTGACTGTACTCTGGGTCTCTGTTTCCATCGACTGCCCTTGAGGCAACACCAAGGTGAGCAGTGGATGACTGAGATGCTATTCCCTCTGGTGCCACGTTCTCCAGGGATTCGGCTGGGTAGACAAGAGGAGGACAAGCCTTAAAATTAGCTAGATGGCTAAAAAAAATCCATTTGTAGCTTTAGTCTTTCACGTGTAGTATAATAAGTTTAATTGGCACTTATGTTGTAATATTGATAGGCAAAATATGAGATTTTGGTGTTTATCCGATACCAAATATATACAGGGTCAGTTTTACCGATACTGATACTTTTTATAATTTAAGCTTGATATATCAAATTTCTGACATTTAGGTGTATTTGCTGGTTCTTCCTTCAAATTATATTGCTAAAATCTTAGAAAGTATTTGAACAAAGTCTACAGATGTCTATAAAATACTTTAATAACGTATCAACGAGATAAACAGAAACAATATAACACGAGTAATTTGTGTGTGTTTTTTCCTAAATAAACACATTGCAAAAAATTCAAATTTTAAAAGAAAATCTTTCTTAAGGCAGAGTTGAACAATTGCAGTTTTTAAATTGTAATTGTAAGATCGAGAGGAAATCTGAAACTAAAGCATCGATCCCACAATCACTGTGACCTGGTGTTGATATTACTAATACTTTGTGTCGATTTGCCCGGCTCTATGGTAATATTTTGCCACTTCTGTACCACAGGCAGCATTCAAAGTCCTACCCTTACAGGCAATGCTTGAGCAAAAGCTAATTTTTAGTTGGTAAATGGTAAATCATCTTGTTTATTTGGCTCTCTGGCTAACACAATTTTCTATTTGCACACTCCTGTCTTGTAGATGTTGTCAAATTGTGACAGCACCCTAATTTGCCTGGTTCTGTACCTGCCAGTGACAACATGGTTTTACATTAATGCATCGAGTCTTGAAGGCAATGACTGCACAAAAGAAACAGAACAGTGAGAGCATCGACTGGATCTTACCTGTAAAATCAGCCAGGATCCACATTAGGAAGGAAACGCCTTGAAAAGGAAAATTTTAACATGAAATTAAAGCTTCATTGCTTTGTTTTTTTTAAAAACACATTTTTATCAAGCTTCACTTGATAAAGCTTCAGAAACAGAAACGTTTCAGTAACTTTATATTTAAAATTGGGCAGCTTTTAATGTCATTAGCACTTTTTAAACGCAAGCATCAATCTATGTCAATGAATTAGTTTTCCCTTATATACAAATCTGACAAATGAGCCGCAAGGACCTGGATGGATGAACAAATGGCTAATCTGAAATTATACAGGTACTAAAACAGAGTGATTAACAGCGTGTGTCTGCTTTAAAGGGCCCAGTGAACCCTTTGCGATTCTTTACGGATCCTCACTTTAGTCACTGCAATTACATAAATGAGCCGGGTTTGTTTAAAATAGGCTGACATTGCCATGCTATATGACAACCGAATAAACAGTTTTTCAATCAAACTTGTGGAAATAAACTCAATAAAATATAACTCGACATAGCTGATTATTTATAAATCCTACTCACAGTAAGCAGCTTTGCGGGCAGCTGCCATCGTGGCTCCAGGTCTCCAACCTCTGGGATGGCCTTACCTCCACTCCTGATTACATGTTTTATCACCACATGATGATTGTTGTTAGTCTTGTAAATCACTTGTAAATCACTTGTAAATCACTCCCTCTGTATCACATCTGCTGCGAACTGCTTTCCAAATCAAATTGCTCTCTACGGCAGGAGCAACACATTTCAGCGAAAAAGGTATGGAGTTGCGAGAAACGCGGAACCGGATTCCATCTTGGTGTCGGAAGAGTCAGACGAAGACGATTGGCGTTTGAGATGTGCGGACCGACTTGGACCGAAAGAAGATCAGAAAAAAGTTGGGACGCCATAATTCCCAAACATGTTTCAACTTGCAACAAAGAATCTCAATAAGATTGAGACCTAAGCGTTTGACTCAGCCAGAGCAGACACAGAAGCTGATACAATCTTCAAAGTCACTGTCACAAAACCTTGATCACAGTCCTGTAAAAAATGTCATTAAATATCTCTTAGCAAGTTGCAACTCGTCTTCTCTTTTATAGCAATTGGCTATAAGCTTCTGGTGCAACTCTCAAGCAGTCTTCCAGGCAGAATTGGTACAGTACATTTAAAGTGGTGTAGTCAAATACTCGCCTTTTAAACATTGTCCACAATTGTAAAAGGTGTCAGTTTCAAGAAAGGGGCTTTTACTTTGTTTTTACTTGTGTAAAAATCGATGTACAACTCACTGTGGACAGTTACACTTGTGTTTCAATAGTTTATGACTTTGGTTGCTCTTGTGTTGTTCCTGAAGCCAATTTCCTTCTATCACAAAGTCACAGTTTGAGTACAGATAGTTGAAATTTGGACACACATGGGTTTTCCAGTAGAGCAATGATCCCACACATAAATTGGTGGAGGACGATTCTATTCTCTAAAAGCCCAAACATCAACCCAGCAGAAAATATATGGACTATAGTGCCAAGAAACTACTTGATTTAAATTCTATCTGCCGATCCTACCGTCTGATCACTCTGCGCCACAATCTAAACACAATGCGAATTGCAGCATCTAGTGTTTCTGGCATTTTCAAATAAAGATTGTTCAGAAGAAAAAAAAGAAATAAATACCTATTGAGATGAAACACGTTGTATTTGTCACTGCAGGCGCAGATTAATAAATAGGAATGTTTTGTATTTGCATATTTCCCTGCAGTGCGATGCATATTGAGGGGGTTTTTTTTCTTTCTTTTTTTGTTTGGTAGGCTGCCTTTTTTGTGGAAACTCATCGCCTAAACGCCTTATTAAAGCCACCCAGGCACTGTGCGAGTAGCCCATAAAGCAGCGGCTCTGTTTTCATTATGACTGATGTCTTAACACGGCCTGGACTATCTTGATGGGAGCTCAGTTTCTTCCAGCCAAAATGCTGCCCTTCAGCAAGGATGCTCGTCTCACATCAAGGTCGGAAATGCACAATCCCTCCACTCCCGCTCCCTCCCTCTTACAAAGTTTTCCATTTTCTTTCCTCCTGCATGTGTAATGATGGCTTTTTATTACACCGGTTCATTAGCATATTTCATATCCTGCTGCTGAGCTTTTTCCAGCTCTCTATCTGTCTTCGTCGATGAGACGCAGGTGCTGGCTGAGGATAGCTTTATGAGAAATGAGAACAAAACGCACGGCGAGGTAAACAGGCCAGCAGCACCTGATAATCAGTCACCGGGAGGCAGACGTTTAAGGGAACTTTTGCCTCTGGACGGGTCCGGGAAGGAGCTGTGAAGACGGATACCGGCTGCGTTTCCGTTAACGAATGTGTGCAAATCTTTGTTGATATTCCGCCAATGTAGAAAACAGAGAACATTTCTGAGGTATAGATTCAACACGTTCGAATGACACGCAACTTTTAATGATGCCATCGTCCTCCAACCACCTCATCCTAACGCAAAAGCTTTTTATTGAAAAAACGTGAATCGGTGTGTTTCCCTTGAGCAAATTTATCTTCGTAATGTCAATTTATGCAACGGTATGGTTAATGGAAACGCAGCTACAGTCACTGACACAGAGTACAGTATGAGATCCAAAGCTCTGGTGGGCTCGGGTTCTCTTGAAAGGACAAGCCGCTTATGAAAAAGTGACATCAAAGTCCAAAGAAGTCTCATTTAAAGTCTTGTGTTGACAACTTGTAAAGGGCGATGCTGCAATTGGCCGATTGTTTGGTTATTTCCGTTGTTAAAACATTTGAACGAACCGCAAGCTTTTCAGATTAATCGTTTTCCTTCCATTTCCACAACTCTGTGCTACCTTACATTTGTCTGCCACCTAGAATCCCGACGAAATACATTAAAGTTAGTTACTGCTGCGTGACAAAATGAGGGTGTGGAAAAGCTCGCGGGGTTTTCCGTAACAATTTCAAAAGGATGCTACAACTAAAATAGTCAGCGCCCAAAATGACGCTGCAGAGATTTCAATAAAGTGTGCCGAGAGCCCACCCTTCGAACACAAAAACACTTTCTGCTTTAAATGCTCCCGATGAATGCAGAATGCCAACTCCGACAGGCGGTGGCGGCGGCGCCCAACGCCTCGCGCGCAAAGATTCATCATGTGTCACGGCTGAGGTTTTAGGCAGCAAATGGAGGTAAGGAGATGAAAGCGGCTTCTTCTTCCTCCCCCTTCACTTCTGTCATGTTCACCAGAGGGAGATTTGATAGGTGCAAGCTCACACACACACACACACACACACACGCGCGCGCACACACAAACACACTCCGTCACGCCCAGAGACAGAACAGACACACATGAAATGTTCACAGAGAAGTGCAGCAGTAATAATTAGATTTCACTTCAAAGAAGCTGGCTGTGGATTTGCTGGGACAACAGAGCTGACGTGCGATTGGCTGCTGAGGCTAACAAGTGAAGGGTGGACAGCTGCGGGACTCCTGGTCATCTATCTGGTGTTGGGACACCGCAGGGCTTGTTGTGCATCACTATGCATCCCTGCATACGCTTGAGGGCGTTTGACTGAGTTCAATGAAAAATGTTCCTCTGGTTCAGCGTTTCTCTTTGACGGCAAGAACCAATTAGGGAAAGGTGTGAAGAAGTATTTTTGCCCCTCGCAGATTGACTCGGTTTTTGCTTATTTTTCAAGTTTTGTAACTTTAAACGCCATTAAACACTTGTTCAGTGAGTAGTGTCGAGAGAAGTTGTTACGTTACGGCCAAACTTTGTGAATACGAGGTTCTTCATGAACAGGACGTTTTAAGAACAAGTTTCATTAAAGCCGACGGTCGTATTTTTATCAGCTAGAAGTTAAGAAGGCTGAACTGAACAGATGCTAAATTTAAACACTGATCAGTGTTAGACATTGTACTGCTTTCTAATTCAAAGTAGTGAGTACATAACTTAAAAACCATGCAAGCATGTGCAGTATATGTTGTTTGGTATAATTACATACATTAATAGGTGACAATGATCAACACATGGATACCTCTTCTTTGTTCTGACAGGGAGTCAAACAAATGGCTTTGTATGAGAAAGAAGCCCCCCCTGCCCCCCTTTAATTACTGCCACGCTAATTGAATCCCTGTGTGAGTGATGTATGGGGATAGGACTCCCAGTGACAAAATGAAAATGAAATAGTATTAAGCAGCCAAGTAGATAATCCATTCAGAAACGTCTGAGAAGCGAGAAGGATTACTTGAAAACGGCCTCGTACGGTTTTCACTGTCAGAGGACATCGAAGTCGTTTGAAACGTGGAATTATTTCATTCTCAGATGAGAATCTGGAATCTCTCACAAAGTAATAAAACTTGGAAGACAGACTATTGGAGTCGTGTTGTGTTTATTTTATGTCATGTTCAGGAGGTTTACTGGATGTAATTTTCAGAACTGGTGTAAAGCAGGATTTCACCATGAGGGAGGGGGGGGACATTTAAAACATTCGAGTCCCTTCAGGCTACAGGATAGTCTCAAAAACAGACTGTCTGCTAGATAGTCTCAAGGTCACTTTGTATATAAATTTTATGCCAAACGACAGCAGTTGAATACAGACAGACTAATATTTAAAAACAAAAAAAATCATAGGAGACTGGGATGAAACCAAAAAACAATGAAGTATGGGAGGAAATTTTGCTCTTCAAAAATATCCGTCTGTAACGGATTCAGAGAGATGAAATATGATACCTAACAAAATGTCTTTCCAAATTCAATATTATGCTTACTGATACCTGTTTTTTGCTTATGTTAGTCGGGAAAATATGTTATAACCAAATGAGTGAGAGATGAGCCTCCTTCTATGAATCCTTGATAACAAACTGGTCTGTGGGTGTATTCTATGATGGGGTGTTGTAGATCAGAAAAGAAAAAGAAATATATTTTTGCCAAAAAAAAACAAAAAACAAAAGAAGTCAGAAATTTTGCAATAAATCTCCAAAATGTTCTTTTTTTTCTAGAAAATTTCTATACTTTTTTTGGAGTAGAAATATACTCCTCCTTTTTTTCCCCTCTACCTACAATGGCCAGCAGGCTGTTGTAACATTCTGGATTTGCTACAGATCTTACATAATTTGTTCATGCCCTGCACTGGATTGCTATAAAGTTGAAAATGTAAGAAAAAAAAAAAAAGGAAAAAAAGTTAACCTGCCAGATAACATCACAGGTTATGAAGATGTAGTACCTTGTAGTCGGGGCTGGACTGTCCCTTTGAAACGTCTATTCTATCAGTCCAGGACTAATGGAGTCCATATATTGGGGAGTTGGTGCTCGGCAGCTCGTCGTGATTACAAACTGGACTTCTAACATGACCTCTTGTTGCAGCAGGGAACACGGCAGACCCCAATTACAAACCGGCTTGACTCATCTGTTGCTGGGGCAACGCAGCAGCAGAGGGCGGCGGATGGGGGGAGCCCGTTTCAGCAGGTCATCTGGGGATGAGAATCAACAAGGGCTCAAACCTGCAGCGATGCACTGACACAAGCAGATGCTCTGGTTCCTATAGCTACACCCACACACACACACGCACTCACACACACGGAGCGAAACCCCTGATTCCTCACACAGATGGTATGCAAAATACATGCACAGCGAGTCCTGCTTTCAACATCCATCCAATCCGATGCTTTTAGTGCTCGCTCTATCTGCTGCCCTCATCTATTCTCCCTCGCCGTCACCTGTTACTCAACCATATCCCTGCTCTCTCTTCCCCCCGTCTCTCCGTCGGCTGTTGTGCTCCTCTCTCTCTACCTCCCGTTCATTCTTAACCTGGCCGACTGCAGATGGTGCTTAATGGATGCATAGCTGAGCGTTACTGCCTTGTGAATAATTTCGAAGGCACAAGGTGAATCACAGGACAGCTCAGTACACGGACACACAAAGAGGGTTTGTGTAGCTAACCGGATTTTTTTTTATTAATTTTTTTATTCAAACTCAAGTTTGTTTTCTTTTATTTGAAAGCTGAATTCCATTGTCATCTACTAAAAATGACATTTTCAACATGGCAGATGTTTTTTTTTTTTTGGAGCCGTCAGGCATGCTTTGGGTAAAACTGCTGGGCATTTTTGTTTTGAAAGACAACATGATGCCTGTGGTGTAGAGAAACCATCGTATGTCGTACCTAGCCTAATACCTTCTTCTCGAAAAGCAGAATTTTATTTGCAAACTTCACCTAATTTGATACAAGTGACAAAACTATTCTCACCCCTTGGACATTTTCACTTTTTGTTACGTCAAAGCACTAATTTCAAAGTGTTTTCCTAGTATTTTATATGATATCTGTAGACAAGATAATAAGTTTTACGGTTTTAAATCTTGTGGGGTTTTTTTTTACCCTAAACATATTCATATGTAGTGGATTAGATTAGTGTTCACTTCTTCCTACTCTTGGCTTTTTTCTCTTTTTGCAGGTGTACAGGCAGGTGACTTGTGTTCTTTCTATGCTGGTTTATCTCTTTCTTCTTCTACTCCTTCTTTCCCTTTAAACCTTTCCCCCCCACACACACACACACTAAACCCAAAGCAACTTCTAGGAAAGCTTAACATATTTCTCAAATTTTAATTTCCCAAAAACAACAAATTAATGTGTGCCACATTGCTAGACAGGAAACGTAAAAAAAAAAAATAATAATCATTTCATTTAAGTCCATACATGAATCTAGATAGAAATAGTAATTCAGCAGTCACATTTATAGACGTGCTGGATGTGTGGAAGTTCATGGACACTGCAGTGTGAACATTTTTTAAGAATGCCAAAACGTGCCATTCCTATCCCAAGATTCATAATGATGGAGCTCTTTTCCCTTGCACTAGTTGAAAGAAACGCTTAAATCAAAAAAAAAAAAAAAAAAAAAAAAAAAAAAGGTGGGGGGTAAATTTTTTCGGGGGAATTT